TTTCCAGATTTGGACTCTCATTCGTTTTTCTGTTTCACATTGCACTTGTGAAAACCAGATTCAGAACCACGGGAGTCCGAACTGTAGGGAATCACATCTGAGGAGACTAACACCCTCTGAGGAGTGCGAAAAACTAGCTACAGTTCTAGCAACTTTGCTGGGGATATTAGAGAACTTGATTTGAACTTCATAATATGAACTTTTATCTACATTTATATGTTCTTTGCATTGCATTTGCATGGTGCTCATAAGTCACTGTGTTTACTATTTGATATCCTAGACGGCTTGCTGGAGGCTTGCCAAAAGCTTGCCGAAAGGCTGGACAGATGTAGGCAATGCCACGTTGGGAACATAACCCTTCGATCAGGGTTACCACCATACCATTTGATCCCCCTTTCACTTTTTGGTGTTAGGTGTGAGAGGTATATTAGGTAATCTTGCAACACTCAAATAGAGGTGACAATTAGCAAACTAGAGGCAACTTCTGAGAATCCCAAAGAACCTTTTATTGACTTTGTTGCCAGATGGAGGGCAAAGGACACCCAAATGACGAACAGGCCTTCAGAGAGAGAGCAAGTCCAGTTGGTAGTTTAGAACCTTGAACAGGACATACTGCAAAGGATGATAGTTGCTCCACTGTCCACTTTCGCCGCTTTACATGAGTTAGGGGTTCCGATTGAGAGTGCATTAAAAAATGAGATCATTTAGAGGACAAGCGAACCTGCAAAAAGGCCGTTTACAAGGGGTACCAATGCTAGCAGTAGCACTATTCCTAGGCCCACTGAAGTCAATGATGTCACCACCATAACTAAGACAACTGATCCCTTTGCTGGTGTAAACCCACAAACCACCAACTCGGCTCGATCTCAACTCAGAACCTTTACCCCTCTTCACATAAGTCTAACCTGTGCTCTAAAGGTCTTGATAGAAAAAGGGCACATCAAGCCCCTTGACCCTCGACCTGTCCTTAACCCACTCCCGGCTAGACATGACCCTTCCTAATACTGTGTTTTCCATCAACAACACGACCATCACACTGACCGTTGCTTTCGTCTCTGTCATGAGATCTAGGATTGACAATAAAGTCATAGCTTCACCACCAAAACCAAATGTGACCACCAATCCACTCCCCGTTCATAACCAGGTCCCTCCACCAAAAAATGTTAACCTAATCCATACATTGATATCCATCTACAACCCTAGCACATACATTACCCTAGTCCATTTACTCAAGCCTGAGGTGTTTATTCCAAAAAGCATGGACTTGTGCATGATGAATGCAACACGTGAATCCCAACCACAACCTGTGGTGACGGTAATTGAGGAGAAGGGAGAATCATTGAAAGAAGAGATGACTAGCGTCTAGGTTATGAAAAAATGACCATCGCTCGTGGAAGGGTATGATTCCAGCCGATATATCGTGGCCTTCGATCAACCAAAGCCGACGATTGTATTACCTAACTCATTCAGTATCAATGTTATCAGAGAGAATGGGCTACAACAAGGTCTAGACAACCTGGCAGAAATAGAAGAAGACTTAGAGAGCCTCTACTTCTTTGAGGAATAAGATTTGGGGAATGTACAGATTGGATGGTGGGATCCAAGCCAGTTTGAAACTGATCATAGGAGGTCTAGTAATGAGGAAGAGTCTGAAACAAACGAACAGACGAAGGACAAGACAGGGAAGAACGGAGAAAAGAATGCCAAAGAAAAGGGCCTGATAGAAGGGGGAAATGGTGATGGAGACGGCAAGTCCAAGGAAGAGACAATTGTCGAAAGAGAGCAAGCATTGGAACAATTTGAATAGGAAAGAGAGGAAGAACTACAGAGATCAGGACTGGTCTGGGAGCAGATAAAAAGAGAGGAGCTTTCTTCTGATATCTAGTTCATCTCACCTTTTTAGTCGGGGAATGGTTATCACAGCGTCGACATGATTCGGGCAGAACCGAACAATTACTTGACAATGACTGATGGAGAGTGGTGAAAAGATAATGATCTAAACTCCGCTTATACTGATGAGGGGTAGGGAATCAATGCCCTTGATGATACGTGGTATATAGAGGAGATCAATCACCTGACTAGAAGCAGCCGCTATTTCAAACCCCTACCCTTGGACCAAGGAGAGCCCTCTGGTAGGGGTGAGCAGCGGATATATCGATCCGTCAAAACCGACCGAACCGAACCGATCCGCCGCATTTTGGACAGATGCGTGATAACGAGCGGACGGTTGCGGATTGATTTTCTCCAATCCGCCAATTTGGCGGACGGATGGCGGATTTGAGATTTCTTTGGCCGCAACCGAACCGCCAAACTGCGAACACCCTTAGTAATTTATAAGACTTTGTGTTTTCAATTTGTTTAACTATTATGTTTGTGTTTTCAATTGAAAAAGAGTTTAAATATTCTGTTGAAAAAAAGTTTTCAACTTGAATATATTTTTTGAATTGAAAAAAATAAACGTATTATTTATCTATATTTTTTGGTTTTTAAATCTAACTCTAAAAATAATAAATAGAAAATATGATATATGCTGGTTGGTTTTTGTTTTCAAAAACATGTATAGATGTAACAATACAGAGACATACAATCTCTAATACTGCTTTGTTCATGATTTTGGTGGTTTGAATTGTTATTATATTTTAAGAACCACAGATTGTAATACTTTATGTGGATAAATCATGCTGTGATTGTAATATGTAGATGGGGCATGCAATGATCATGATATTCTAAAGTTTTAAACTTTCTTTCTTTAGATAAGACATACAGTGATTGTAATACTTTTTTAAGTCATTGACTGTAATACTCTTTTTTTTTTTTTTTTTTTTTTAGGAGGGGTATTTTGAGGAAGTGCACAAGTTGAATTATGTTGAAAATTTATAAAATTTTAAACCGCCAAACCGATTCGCATCCATCCGCCAAACCGCTAATCCACTCAATCCACATCCGCCGGATTGGCAGACGGATGCGGATTGATTTTCTTCAATTCGCCAATCTGGCGGACGGATGGCGGATTGGAGGTTTCGTGGCAGCAACCGACCCGCGCCCACCCCTACCCTCTGGTAAGGATATTGAGAAGATGAAGGAAAAGGAAGTAGGGGAAGACCTGGTGTTGAGACAACTCAAGAAGATTCAGGTAGATATCTCAATCTGGGGGGTTACTAATGGCTTCTCGAGAAATGGATCCCAGTGGTGTTGGTAGACACTAGCTAAGCAATCAATGTGTGTCCGGTGAGGACTACTTAGGCTTGAAACTAGTTGACTTTGCGTCTACAACTCAAGCTGTCCGAGCCTATGACAATGCCAGCTGTGATGTTATGGGAACCTGCAAAAGCCATATATTGGCCGGTTTGTCTAAACATGAGGTTGAGTTTAATGTTATGGATGTACCTGCGACCTCCAATTTGCTATTAAGCAGGCCTTGGTTACACCAAATGAAAGTAGTTTCTTTGACAGTGCACCAATTGGTAAAGTACCCGTCCAAGGGGGGTTGCAATGGTCTATGACAATTCTTCAATCCAAGGGGGGACCCACCACACCCCATTTGGAGACATTACATGGAGAAGAGGATGTATTCCTCTCTAGGTTCACCTTGGCAGAGGCACGGTTGGTGCAAACCATTATAGTAGAAGATGAGGGAGATTATGTAAGCGCACAGTCCATATACATGATGAACAAATAGGGGCATCTTCCTAGATCAGGATTGGGTAAAAGCGGGAGGCAAGGAATCACTACTGCCAAGGAAGTGAGTCATAACCCTCATGTTTTCAGGTTGGGATATGAATCAACTAAAGAGGATTGGAAGAGGAAAGAAGATGAAGTGAGGGAAAGAATCAAGGAAAATAAAATTGGAAGGCAGTTTGAGTTGATTCACAAACTAATCAGGGTAACTCTAAATGGACGCTTTGTTTATCAAGGAGATGACCTCCCCTTCCGTGGGTTCCTAGAGCCATGGACTAAACAAGTGACGAGGAAGAGGTACCTGGGGTTCGAGATTTTATTCAATCATCAGTTATTAATTAGTAAGGAAGAATGGATCGATCCAAGCATTGATATGGGGCAGGAAACAAGTTCTAATTCAAAGAGCTTTGAAGAGGAACTTCTGGGGATGACACTGGCTGGCCTCATTGCAGATGTCAGCACCGGGGCTGAGCCTACTAACTTGGGGGATAGTGTTACTATTTCTGTGATCAAGGATAGACCAACAATGGATTATACCGATCTCATTCTGGACGCAGTAGAGGCTTCACGTTTGGTTTGGCATTTCGAAAAGGGTTCTATTGAAAGTTCTGATTCGGATAATGAGTCTGAATCTGATTCCACTGAGTCTGTCGAGTTAGAGTTAGATTCAAATCAGTATAGTGAGTCTGAGTTTAGCATTTCCGGGGGTGGTAACTCGAGTGCTAGAGTCCTATCTAGGTCGTCTTTTAGTTTCTCTTTTGAGTCAACTATAACCAAGGACCCTGATCTTATCATTAAAAGTGTAGTAGATTTTGCTTAGTTTTCTGTGCCTTTAGTTTACTGTACTAAAAGTGATTTTCAAAGTTTCGACCAAAACGAAGAGGAAGAAATTCCTCGGGATTTAAAAACTTTACTTGACCAGGAGGAGGAAAGGTGTGCTAAACCCTTGTTGGATGAGATTGTGTCAATTAATATGGGTACTGATGCTTAGTCCAGATTGGTTCCACGTTGTCTTCGGAGGAGCGCGAGTAATTAGTCACTTTGTTAAAAGATTTCAAAGATGTTTTTGCGTGGTCCTACGAAGACATGCCTGTTACTTCGTGAACAGCCCTGGCGTCAAGTAACCGATCTACTTCTTCAACAACGGCTAAAGTATGCTCTACGACTGACCGCCAACTTCTCTGAATAATTGGCTTACATTTTGGATCAACGTTTAAGCGGTGTTGGGCCACTAACGGATCCACTCTTGGCATCTCGTATGGGGACCATGCAAATACATCAATATTGCTGAGTAAGAAGGATTCCAACTCCTGTCTTTCAACTTAATCCAAGGAAGCGCCGATCATGAAGAACTTGTCAGGACTTTCGTCAATTTTGACCCGATGCAGGGCTTTGGTTTCCTTTTCACTTGGGATCCACCCAATGGCTTCGAGGCTCTCCCTATCTGGTACCTCAATCGAATGCACTTCCAGTTCTCTTGGTCTCTTTGCAGCTAGATAGTAACATGCCTACACTAATTTCTAAGAGCAGCGAATTTCTTCGATACTGTATTCAGTCGGAAAACGAAGTAGTTGGTGGTAGGTGCTTGGCATGACTTGCATCGTATGTAACCAAGTTCTTCCCATGATAAGATTATACGGTGAAGGAAGCTTGACAACCAGAAATTCTACGTCTACTGATCTGGTGTCGGCCTATACTGGTAATGTAATTTTTCCTAAAGGATACTCCAGGTTAGCATTGAAGCCGAATAACGGGTAATCAGCCGAAGACAAGTCTGAGTCGGTAAAACCAAGTTTGATGAAAGTTTTGTAATACATTAGTTCCAAAGTGCTGCCCTGGTCAATGAGAACACGCTCAATGGTGAATTTGTTTATCCGTGGCTCGATGACAAAGGGGTCGATGTGGGGATGCGTCACTTCAATTAAATCACTGTCATCGAAACTGATTCTTCCAGTGTCGTGGGGCTGTTTCATTGGTGTCATTGGGCTATGGGAGCCAGATGACAACTGGACTGTATGCACCTCGAGTGATGCCGGCATGCTGTATACCATATGAATTACACCAAGAGGAGGTGACTCTGGCCGTAGAGCTACTATGTTTGTTGAATTGTTCTTTCGGACATGTTGCATGAGACGGCCGTCTTGCACCAATTCTTCAAGGTGATCTTTCAATGCATAACAACTATTGGTGTCGTGACCATGATCTTTATGATACTCACACCGTTTATCCTGTCTTCTCGCATCGGGAGGTTCCGTCATCTTGGGTGGCCACTTGAAGAACGGAAGGTGTTGTACTTTCGACAGAATCTTATTGATCGACTCTGTCAGCTCCCTGTATTTCTTGCCCGAATGCCTTGTGTCCTTGCTATCCACTTGATACTGTTCATTAGCTCAATGTGAATATTGGTCATTTGATCGGCGCAAGTCACGCCTGTTGTCTTGTTTAGGCTGATTCTACCGCTCGGGGCTTCTTGATAGGGCTGAACGGTTTCCAACGTGGTCATCTCAACGGCTTTACGTCCGGCTTTGACTCAAAGGGCATCGTCTTCCACTTTGCAGTATTCTTCGACCTTCTTCATTAATGCCTAGACGGTTTTGGGGAGATGCCTAGTTAATGAACTGTGGAGGGGACTATCAGGATGTAATCCCATCTTAAAGGCAGTGATGGCCATGGAATCATTGCAAGCATTATCTACCAGATTAAAGCACTCCCTATAGCGGGCCGAGTATTCACGAAGAGTTTCTTCAGGTTTAATTTGCATGGCCCAGAGAGAATTGGCTTGCTTCGGCTGGACCTCATTAGTGATGAATCTCTCTCTGAATGACTTTTGGAGTTGGTGGAAGCTCTAAATTGATACCGGCTCCAGTTTATAGTACCACCTCACGGCTAGTGGTCCCAGACTGCTTGGAAATATTCGACACATGAGGGCTTCGTCGTCAGCATGGAGCATCATCGCTTGCTTATAATGATGAATATGATCAGTGGGGTTTGATTTTCCATCGTAGAGGGTGAACGACGGTGCCTTGAACTTTTTGGGTAGCACAGCCCTGGCAATTCGTCGCACGAATGGGTCATGTTTATCTTCCTCATCCGAATCATCGCTTCTTCCTCGTCTATGCCGTACATATGGACTTCCTTCAGATGAGCTGGATACATTAACGCGCCTTTTCTTTCTGGGCTCCAAGGATGGTGAGTCTGCACCACTATCATTGTTGCGTTTCTGAAGTCGACGTCGCCCACCATCCTTCTTTCCTGAAGGTCAAACCCAATCTTGGCATGCGGCTTGTTGGGATTTCATCACCTCCAAGGCCAAATCCTAGCGTAGGCGCTCATTTTCAGCCATCATGTTCTCCAGTCGTTGTTCATTTTGCTTTGCTTGATCTATAATCGTTTGCATTGTCTCATGCATTGAAGTTGAGGGTGAGCTACTGAATCAAAGTTCAAGGCACGTCACGCGACAATATTCTCTGGTCTCCGCATGTTTCTTGGAGTGAGGTCGTCTCTTGGTGTAGTTTCATCAATGATTATCGGAGGATCTTTTGTGATGCTCGCCATGAATAAGCTTGAGTATTCCCACAGACGGCGCCAATTGTGGATGTGTAGGTTTGGAAATACTCTAGGATCCAGAAAATCATCCTTGATCCTCTGATCGCCACCTGAAAAAGGGATTAACACTCCGGTCGGGGGTGCCAAAATTAGCACTCCGACGGACAAGTTAGTATAGGTCTCTTGTTTGCTTGAGTTTTAAGTTTCTTAGGTTTGTTCTCACATACCTTTCTTTGGTTGATATTTCTCTATTTATATTCGCTTTTGGGCCTTAGGGTCGGGCCCACTCTTAATCCATTGTGTGATTGTTCGTTCGGCCCCTTCTGTCATATGCCAATTCACGCTCGGCTTTTTGTTCAACTGGGTCTATGGCCAATTAGTATATTCGGCTTCGGGATCGTACAGGACGGAGCCGAATATAATATATATCCTGATTTTCTAAGTGATGATATTCGATTATTCTGCATCTACCGATATTTGGCTCCCACAAAATTAATTAAATAACACATTAAATTTTCATGTAACCACGCAATTAATAAAGCCAAAAATAAAATAAAGTAATAATAACAATAATAAATAATGACTTAAAAAAAATTAGGGTCGCTACACACGTCGCACTATTTTGTGCACCCACATAACACTGCTTTGTGCATTCACCTCGTATCGCGTTGTTTTGTGCATTCACACCGTATTGCACTGTTTTGTGCATCTGCATTGCACTATTTTGTGCACCCCGCATCACACTATCTTGTGCACCCCTTTAATTCTTGAAGAGCGTTAATCCCTAACGTGGGTCTAGAAGACCATAAATCCTCTAAAGGTGCAATTTCTTTAGTGTTTGTCATGCCCGAATGACTTCAAGCGGTCTGGTCTAGCCACCTGACTGTGTTTGTAGTGAATTCCTAGGAGACCAATTGAGACGGTGGAAACTAAAGTTTAAGTGGCCGAGGCCTAGAATGCAAAGGTTTGGAATTTCTGAGACTAAAGTTTGGTTTAAATACCCAGGGGTGTATCCTCGGCTTGAAATCTGTATGACAACCCTATAGGTTGAGGTAGCTTGTAGGAACCTCAATTTTGGATAATGAACCAACCTAGCCTGTCACCCTGTTGGAGAGTAAGGAAAGTTGCAAACATGACCAGGGAGAAAAGTAATACCCGTGGTTTTCACGTGAGTATTATACCTTTATGGAGCATTTGGGGTCCTTGAGATTGTTTTCTCTGTTTGGAAGCGCAAGATGAAGGAAGAGGTCTTAAAACAAGAAGAAGAGGAAGATCCCCAGTAGAATAAGGTGAGTCCTCGTCAATTACCATTGTAAAGTGCTTTCTAAGGCACCACTTCCCGGCTGCTACACCACATTTATCATCTATTACCTCTATCACATTGCATATAGCATCTATCGTATGCATCTACTACATTATCCATGACATCAATTACATCATACCATTTTATTGCCTACATCCTTTTCATGTTAAGTTTAGTTTGGCAGGTGCTCATACTTTTCCATGTTAAAGCATGGTTCTATGATAATGTGTACACACCTATTCTGCAAGAATTGTGGTTTGAGGGTGTCGACACCTTTTTTGTGTTAGACATGGTTTGTTTTGTGTCCATGACTTTTCTAGATAAGACGTAGTTCAGCCTATGCCCCCTATCCATTTTATCGATTGCATCCATTGCATCGTGCTCTATCTTGTTGCATTCATCCTTATCACGTAAACGCGTTTAGGATCATTATCATCCCATTGCATAGTTATTTCCTAGTAGATCATTACTCAACAGATCATTCCTCACCTATATCATACCACCTAATCACTTGTACTCTTTCTGTGAAAAATATGGTTCTATTATGTGCTCGCACCCCTTTTACATCAAAACATGGTTCTGTTATGTCCCCGAACGTCCCGGGAAAAATCCCGTTTTGTTCATTGGGGCTTACTACAGTTCGGACTCAAATTTCATGGTTCTTAATCTGATCTCACAAAGTGCAATGCAAGACTGATAAATCACCAAAGAGTCCAAATTCGGCAAATAAACGCGTTTAGGATCATTATCATCCCATTGCATAGTTATTTCCTAGTAGATCATTACTCAACAGATCATTCCTCACCTATATCATACCACCTAATCACTTGTACTCTTTCTGTGAAAAATATGGTTCTATTATGTGCTCGCACCCCTTTTACATCAAAACATGGTTCTGTTATGTCCCCGAACGTCCCGGGAAAAATCCCATTTTGTTCATTGGGGCTTACTACAGTTCGGACTCAAATGTCATGGTTCTTAATCTGATCTCGCAAAGTGCAATGCAAGATTGATAAATCACCAAAGAGTCCAAATTCGGCAAATCGTTTTGAAAAATTGATATTTTTTTTTAGAAAGAAGTGCCAAACATGGACTGCTTTGCCAGATACAGAGTCACCACCTAAATATTTTATTTTGGAAGAATTTAGGAAACCCTGACTCGTGCCTAAGGCCATGTGTCCGTCATCACCAAAGTTGCCTCGGCTAGGGAACTTGGGTACGATTGGGGAAGGTCACTTCATGAGCACCCCCGCTCGCCCGATCAAAGATCGGTCTCTACTAACCATGATATCGAGTTTTGAAAACATTATGTGCTCTTATTCCGGTTATTAGCCTAGAATTACTATGTGATGCGCACAACATACAAGTATAGACTGGATTGCCTAAGTTGGAACAAAGCATTGCACATCTGTTTGTTTTGAAATTGGATTGAAGTTTGCTACTCGCAAGTAGGCTAAAACACGGGTTTCGACGAATTATTCCAACTTAAGCAACCCAACCTTCACCCACAGGCATTCAGGCAGTTATGTCACATAAGCACGTAGCCTCATGGCAAGCATGCTATCATGGCAGTCACTCACACACACGCAAGGATGCTAAAGCATAAATACTTACCGAGTACTCCAAGCCAAAGAAAGAAACTAATTAGAAAATATGCATGAATCCTAACTATACTAAGAATGCCTAATGCAACACATGCAAAAATGCAACTACGATAGGCTCGGCTATTCTAAGATGGCATATGAGATGCAACAATCAAAACATGTATTTAACTTGGAATTGAAATACAATGCAGTTAGCATGATGCGCCGAGCCCGGTGCATGCAAAACAGATGAATGGATGCAAACATACGAGCATAAGGATGCTAATTTAAACGTGCCCTGAAACTAACCATCATAAGTTGGTAAATAAAAGGGAGAAAGACGTGGGGTTGGAAGACATACATCACACACATGTACATTTATTACAACATTGCCCTCATCGGAGGGTCCGAATAAATAATACACAACCGAATGAATAACGAATTACAGTTAATTATTACACAACCCTAATTAATTAACAAATTAACTAGAATAAATAAGCTAGCATGCAAAACATATGAAATGGACTGCCTCAGCTCAGTCTTGAATGACAAGGAATGCATGCATGCTTGAGTCGCCTTACCAAGAAATCCATCGCGATGCCCCGACTCGCCTTTGTTTGCAATTGAACTCAGAAACTTGCACAAAGCTCCAGAAGGCTGAAACTCCACCCTTGGAAGCTGTGGGAAGGCTGCCGACCAGCCCTTGGCCTTGGAGACCACCTGCCGACCACCTTTTGTGGTGGAGACCAAAAGAGGTGGTCGGCCTGCTAGAAAAGTTGGTTGGCCGACCAGTTTCTGCCTCCTGTTCTTGGTTTTCTGCAACACA